ACTTGGATTCCTATGAAAGGGATTTGAAGAAGCTTATTGATCAGACACTTAGCTTCATTAGTATCAACAACTTTCTTCTTAATCAATTCGTTGAATCTAGCATCAAATCTATTTTTATATAGATGATTTAATTTCTACCAATCATTGCTCTGCTTATCTGTACAAGAGTTTAATCATAAAATCTCAGTAAATACTAACTCCCACTTATTCAAGTCTAGCATTAGAAGAACTTGCAAGTCTGGCCTATCTCTGGAATAAATAGAACGCATCAACTCTTTTCATGCTTGGGATAAATTAGACATCTTTTTTCTAAAAAATCAATATTGTTAATTATATCATTGAACAAGAAGTAATTGTAGAAGCGAAAAAGTTTGACCATTTCAGCAGAGTTGGTACAAGGTGCAATATATTATACCATGATCATTTAAAATTCTATTTATAATAATTAAAGATGGGATCCATGACTCTGAAAATTGCATAAATCACATAAAAGTTTTTGCTATACTCTCTTTTACCTAATAATGGTCTCAAACTCTAACAATTTCTCCTATGAATTAAGCAGATGATTAATTTAACCAAGAAATACAAAATATGATTGATTGTATTATTTCACTTACAGCCCTTCTAGTAGATTGAATGTTGTTAATAAAACTCTATGTTCACCCAAATTATTTTTGTATCATGGAAATATAATAGGGTTAACAAGAGCCAGATTGAAATTGGGTCCCAATAACTCGTATGTATTAATAAATTCATCCAGCATGGTAATCATTTTTTCTGAAAATTCTGGTTCACTTAATTCAATTTTCTCAAAAACCTGTTTAGTCTCTACTAATAACTTATCTGCCATGCTATCTACTCCTTTAGAAATATCTATAATTCTAGATGCTATTGGATCACTTGAATCAATAGAAGTCAAATCAAGCCATTCTAAATACCCACAAACTTTGTTTAGCACTCCCTCAACTTTCATGGAGCAACCAGTATTTACCATATTAATCTATAAAAAATTCAATATTAGAACTTCAAAAAATAATAAGATGTGGGAATGCATATTTGTATTTTTTACTTACACAATTATCGATTATTTCAGCAATATTTTTCTGGATAATCTCCTAATTCTGCTGTTTTTCTTGTTCTTCACACTAAATCAGAAGTATTTTTGATTAGCCAAATATAATGAATATTATCAAAAATAGATCAATAGTATTTATTCATCTTTTTTCTATCAGATACACTCCACTAAATATTTCTTGTCATTGTCCTTATAAGTATGTAATAGATAGATTAAACTACTAGAATATTTTGATAAATATACCATAAAATATTTTTCAAAAATCAGAATTGCTATAGATGTGTTTCATATTTAATATACATTAGTGAGTTAACATGTCAACAGACAATGACGAGATACTTGAAGGCAGTGTTGTCATGGAACAGCTTTGGACAATACTTTGGACAATCTTGAACAATCTTGAACAATTAAATAAAATAAAATTACTTAAAATTTTATTAAGATAACCTATTTTAATTTTAATTAAAATAAATTCAGCACCTAAAAAAATATATAGTTATATATTTTTTAAATAAATTTATTAATTATTAAAGCCTCATCTTAATATCAAAAAAAAAAAAAAAAAAAAAAATTAATTATTAAAGCCTAGATAAGCTTTGAACAATCTTGGACACTTGAACAATTTTGGACATGGACAAGTCAAAAAAGGCTTTGGATAGCCAAAATATACAACATTACTCAAAGGCATTGCCTATATCAAACTTAGCAAATTGCCCAGATAGTAAAACTCATATACCTGAATCCTTTAATGAATACAGAGTCAATTTTCTGCAGAGCTAAGGTATATATTTATAATTGTTGTGCATGTCCAAATACAGGGCATTGATATAGGCCTATGCCTATTTAATCACACTATTGAAAACATCATTTTATTCAATAGAAATATAGATTGATTATTATTTTCAACTACTTACCTGGGGTATCTTTGAAAACCTCTGAGATATTTGTTCCAACTTTTTTACAATAGTATCTAATTTTTGAAGCTTACACATTGTTATAGCATTGCTAAGCTTATTAGTATATTGCTTTACTGCTGTTTCGAGAATGCTCTTTCTCAATAGCTCTACAGTTGGAAAATACACTTGAGATAACTACAACTTAAAATACAATTTTCCATATATTTCACTATGGTTGCGGTAAAAGAAGTTAGTGATGTTAAACATTTTAAAAGTAATAGATATTAGCTCATTTTTTTTAATTACTATAAAGTGACAAACTTCTATAACTTTATTATACTTTCTTTTATAAATAAAATTTGCTTATCTCTAAATAGCAATACAAATAGCAGATCAATAGCAGAAAAAGGACCTATATGTACTCTATGCTATTTTTTATATTCTACATTACACTATGCTAGTCATAGGGTGACCCTTAGACATGTAGAATGCATGCTAGAGATCTCAAGATCTTTAGCATTATAGTGTAGAGAAAGATCTCTATGTATTATACTTCGCCCAACCACCTAGTAAAGCCTTTATTTTTTATTATAAAGACTATAAATGCGGAAATATATATGTTTTGGTTAGAATAAATAAATTTTTCTACTAGGTTTCAAAAATTCACAAAAAGATTTGGTTGTACAAATAACATATGTGTCATGAGATTATTGTTCAAATTTGGGTTGGGATACTAATTCAAGAAAATTTTAAAAATGATACTTTGTACTTTACCTGTTCTATATAAGTTATACATAATACAGTAATGATATGCCTTGCAAGATATCAGATAATTTATATAGAATTTATTCTAATATATTAATGACAAATTATGTAATTTTCACATTTACATTGCCTATATATACCAACTGCTACTTTTTTGCATTTATCACAAACCTTGCACCCATACTTCCACTCTCTAAAGATATGCCACTTTTCATAATATTTTTGATTTTTTTTATTTGTAAATATCGATATGTTATTCTAATTTTTCATTGTTATATTAACAAAAAAAATAATATATACGTAGCTAAATTTTTTATTATACAAACCTGTAATGTGTAGCACTTTGTGGTCTGGAGTTAGCACCTCATAGCATGAGTTAATTGACTGACTTACTAATTCAGAAAAATGAAAAATAGTACTTTGAGATTGTGCACTATCTCACAAATAAGTTATACATAAGTCAGGATCATGTTTTATTATGTATCAAATTTTATTTATAAGAATTAATTATTTATTTGTATTATATTCATATACATGTCTAGATAATGTTAAAATATGAAAAAACTTTGGCAAGTGTGACCAGTTGAGAAAAATTTGATATTTATCAAAATTGAAAAAATTTCAGTAGCTGTAACCAAAACGGTTACACTTAAATAAAATTTAGCATAGTAAATTTTATTGGCTCACTTTTAAAACTTTAGCTTTTACATAACCAATATTATTCATACCCAGTCTTGAAATAGTTGACACAGAAAAAGATTTAATACAATATATCTTTCTTTGCTCTCCAACCACATCAAAGAGTTTAAAGATTTTTATTGCTCTTTCCTTTCTTTTTCTAAGATTAGCTTCTGAAACTTTGTTCTGGTTCAGAAAATGCTCTTGAATTTTATAATTAACTAGAGAATTGGACGTATTTTTATTATATGTTTTTTTATAATGGTCAAGTCATAACCTATACCCTTTCCCAAAATAATAATATATATGAATCACTTCTAGAATAGTTTTTATTACTATCTTCGGCATTGATGATCTTATCATCTAGTTTATAAAAATTAACCAAGTTAATATCCATATCAGGGAATGTCTGTAGAAAAATAATACTACTAGAAGAGCTTTGTTGTAGAATTGGAGCAGACAATTCTTTGATAAGCTTTTTCAAAATGTGCGAATCTTCTCTTCTAACTGCTTTCTTTGTCTTCTTCTTGAGTATAGATAAGTTGATATTTGTACCTTTATTGGAACATTTTTTACTGCTAGTATCAGATTGTTCTTCACCATCAATGCTCATTTCTTCTTCCTCTTCTGGTTCTATATTAGTTTATAGGTATATAGGACACAGTTTTTGTAGATTATCGATATAATTGTAATAAATAATATATTTGCAGGTTAAGTATATGAGTGGTTTCAAGAAAGAGTCCTTCAGGGCGGCCATCAATTTTGCAGTGACATTGATCATAGATCATAGTGCAGCCACAATAAATCATACTTATCAATAATTGATTACATATATACCTGATAACTATAACCCTTTCAATATTGTTTAAAGGCACCTATTTTTCACTTATTTTACTCTTTACTGGCTGTCATTTGTAGATTTTTCTGACATATTAAGTTACTTGAACTTTTATTTATATATATTTTTTGTTCAATTAATAATATTTTTTACATTTTTTTTTCCCTTTAAGACACTCTATAGCATTGTTTTGTATTAGCTATTCGAAACTTAAATATAATATAAAAAAAAAAAAATACAATTGAATTTAATTTAACTGACTTTAAAAAATTGACTGGTAAGTTTTCAATCGATTATAACTACTAATTCTAAAATATATATTTTTATGGCAGTTAGCATGTTTGGATAAATTCTGCATAATGTATTGGAAATGAATTTTATTTATTAAAGAATATAGAAGCGAGAGTAGATTTAGACTATTTACTCTTCATAGCCAAGGCCAACAGTGATATTTATTTTTGTATTATCGCAAAAAATCATAAATATAAAAGCTAGGTCCTTTCTTTCGATTTTAATTTATATATGAAGCATGAATATATTAAGGTAATACATATATGTTATCACAATTATTAAATATATTGTTATTTGCCATGGGATAGAATGTATTGTTATTTATTTATTAAGTAAAAATGTATTGTTTTATTAAATAAAATGTATTGTTATTTATATAATCCAAAGCACTATTTATTAAATAATAAATCAGATATTTTAATATTATAGCTTTGATTACATTAGAATAACAAATTATATTAATAAAATGGGCAATATTTAATTGAAAAAAACCTTATTACCTTAGCATTCTTGTTTTTTCATACTACATACAAAAAGCCTTTAGTTATCAAACCATTGAATCAAATGCTATCTTTTTTTTTGTACAGTTACTATAAATCGTGGTCTAAAATATCTTGTGAATACTTTTTATTTACAGATATATACTGTAAAATAAATTTATAGAAAGATGTATAATTAGTATGCTTTAGTAAAATATTCTCTGATATTTTAGATCATGACTATGATAACCTTAATAATTGATAGCTGATGTTTACGTATTTGTCAAAATCGTAATTTTGCAGATTAATTGTATTAATCATATTAAGGGAGATGCTTAAGAATCCTTCTAATATATTAAGTTTTGGTAATAAAGCTTGCGTTCGTAACCTGATTAAATATAAAAAAATAAAATAAAATAAGAGTAAAAATAATAAATGGTATATATTATATTTATTGGTACTTTTAATTCTTATCTTCTCATCAGGGCTTAAACTACTATATTAATTTTCTGGTCATTCAAAGTATTATTCTTGATCTGTGAATTAATTATGAAACAAATATTTAGTTTGCTGTATTAAAAAGAACATTTTAAACAATAAGATACAGGCCAGCAAATTACTATAGTAGTTTAAGCCCTGCTTCTCATTTGTTCCTATTATAAATGTCATAATTGTGTTATATATTCATTCAAAAAGCTTAAATAAAAAAATGCATTAATCAGCTTCATAATCAATACTCATTCCCTAAGTTATTAATTCTGCTATTTGGCCCTAACTTATCAATTCTACTATTGGTCCTAATTCATCAATTCTACTATTTGGCCCTAACTTATCACTTCTATTAGCAAACAATTATATCTCACATTGGCTATCTTCTTATAAATATCTTTACTTTGGACTTAGTGTTAAACAAAGTTGGGAGTTAATATCTGCTTCATCAAATTTTATCAAATATCTATAGCTAATTGATTTAAACATTATCAATATCCATTTATTAAACATCTACAGCCGCATATTCCAAATTTTAATACTAGTTCATAATGAAGGAATACGGTCAATGTAGATCTTTTCGTTCTGATGACCAATTCATCTGGAATAGTACACATCATAAAACGTGCCTTAACTACAAAAAAAGTTATCTAAATAAAAAAAGTTTGAAAAATATAGAAACTACTAATCAAGAAACAGAGCAAGCTAATAATA